TCCACGTTAATGTCCAGATGTGTTCACTTTAATATTGAGAAATGTCCAAGAAATATCCACGTTAATGTCCAGAAATGTCCACTTTAATATTGAGAAATGTCCACGTTAATGTCCAGATGTGTTCACTTTAATATTGAGAAATGTCCAAGAAATATCCACGTTAATGTCCAGAAATGTCCACTTTAATATTGAGAAATGTCCACGTTAATGTCCAGATGTGTTCACTTTAATATTGAGAAATGTCCAAGAAATATCCACGTTAATGTCCAGAAATGTCCACTTTAATATTGAGAAATGTCCACGTTAATGTCCAGAAATGTTCACTTTAATATTGAGAAATGTCCGCGTTAATGTCCAAGAAATATCCACGTTAACGTCCAAAAATGTCCATATTAATATTGAGAAATGTCCACGTTAATGTCCAGAAATGTTGATGTTTATGTCCAAGAAATGTCCATTTTAATAACAAGAAATTTCATGTTAATATCCAGAAATGTCGATGTTAAAGTCCGAGAAATGTCCACGTTAATGTCCAGAAATGTTGATGTTTATGTCCGAGAAATGTCTACGTTAATGTCCAGAAATGTCGATGTTAAAGTCCGAGATATATCCACGTTAATGTCTAGAAATGTGGATGTTAAAGTCCGAGAAATGTCCACGTTAATGTCCAGAAATGTCAGAGATTTTATTGAAATACGCCATTCTTTATCGAGGATTGTTAAATCATATTTTTACATTTTCGTACTTTTTAAACGTTTAAAACATACTACTATTTAAGTCGTACAATGCTACCAAACGAACCAACTGCTTAATGAAAAAAAAATAGAGTTAGCCAAGTGTTACGTAAAGGCTCAGATGAGAGTTAACCAAGTGTTAAGTATTTAACACGGTACATAAGAACAAGGTAGACTTCTTGGTAACCCTCTAAGTAAAGGTTCAGTTGAGAGTTAACCAAGTGTTAAGTACTTAAAACTGTACAATATACAAGGTAGACTTCTTCGTAACCCTCTAAGTAAAGGTTCAGTTGAGAGTTAACCAAGTGTTAAGTACTTAACGCTGTCCAATAGACAAGATAGACTTCTTGGTAACCCTCTAAGTAAAGGTTCAGGTGAGAGTTAACCAAGTGTTAAGTACTTAACGCTGTCCAGTAGACAAGATAGACTTCTTCGTAACCCTCTAAGTAAAGGCTCAGTTGAGAGTTAACCAAGTGTTAAGTACTTAAAACTGTACAATATACAAGATGGACTTCTTGGTAACCCTCTAAGTAAAGGTTCAGTTGAAAGTTAACCAAGTGTTAAGTACTTAAAACTGTACAATATACAATATAGACTTCTTGGTAACCCTCTAAGTAAAGGCTCAGTTGAGAGTTAACCAAGTGTTAAGTACTTAAAACTGTACAATATACAAGATAGACTTCTTGGTAACCCTCTAAGTAAAGGTTCAGTTGAGAGTTAACCAAGTATTAAGTACTTAAAACTGTACAATATACAAGATAGACTTCTTGGTAACCCTCTAAGTAAAGGTTCAGTTGAGAGTTAACCAAGTATTAAGTACTTAAAACTGTACAATATACAAGATAGACTTCTTCGTAACCCTCTAAGTAAAGGTTCAGTTGAGAGTTAACCAAGTGTTAATTATTTAACACGGTACATTAGAACTACAGCAGTGAAAACATATAGAGTTAACAACCTTCATTACAGATACTTTACTTTTATTAGTCATACATCAGCAGATCCCTAAAAGATGGCTTTTGAACATCGGTTATAACAATGTTATTTACAGACAGACACATTATTTACTGATTTATTAAACTTCTATAGTATAAGTGTTAGTACCTCATATTTGTATTTTAGCCGCACGTTACGCTACTCACGTTCTAAACAGCCAGGTAAGGCTTGAGCACATTCAACTTTACATCAGCAGCACTGATGTACCAGTACTATAATCTAATAATAGGATTGACTGTGACCGTTATTACTCTCTCACAAATGAAACTGCAGACATGTTGAGAAGTACATGACATTTACATTTGCCCTTCACATAGATTTTCACTCCCTCATCCCTGTTGTTTATATATTATCTACAGTTTATTTTTCATATATTCTACACTGTAGATTTTTACTACTCTACCCTGTTGTTTATATATTATCTACAGTTTATTTTCATATATTCTACACTGTAGATTTTTACTACTCTACCCTGTTGTTTATATATTATCTACAGTTTATTTTCATACATTCTACACTGTAGATTTTTACTACTTTACCCTGCTGTTTATATATTATGTACAGTTAATTTTTCACACATTCTACACTGTAGATTTTTACTACTCTACCCTCCTGTTTATATATTATCTACAGTTTATTTTTCATATATTCTACACTGTAGATTTTTACTACTCTACCCTCCTGTTTATATATAATGTACAGTTAATTTTTCATATATTCTACACTGCAGATTTTTACTACTATACCCTGTTGTTTATATGTTATCTACAGTTTATTTTTCATATATTCTACACTGTAGATTTTTACTACTCTACCCTGTTGTTTATATATTATCTACAGTTTATTTTTCATATATTCTACACTGTAGATTTTTACTACTCTACCCTGTTGTTTATATATTATCTACAGTTTATTTTTCATTCATTCTACACTGTAGATTGTTTACATAATTTTACTGACAAAAGAACCGATAGAGACAACCAA